CAAGAGTGTCCCACAAGAGTGTCCCACAAGAGTGTCCTATAAGAGTGCCCCACAAGAGTGTCCTACAGGAGTATCCCACAAGAGTGTCCTACAAGAGTGTCCCACAAGAGTGTCCCGCAGAGTGTCCCACAAGAGTGTCCCACAAGAGTGTCGTACAGGAGTGTCCTACAAGAGTGTCCCACAAGAGTGTCCCACAAGAGTGTCCTATAAGAGTGTCCCACAAGAGTGTCCCACAAGAGTGTCCCACAAGAGTTTCCGACAAGAGTGTCCTACAAGAGTGTCCTACAAGAGTGTCCCACAAGAGTGTCCTACAAGAGTGTCGTGTAAGAGTGTCCCACAAGAGTGTCCTGCAAGTGACCCACAAGAGTGTTCTACAAGAGTGTCCCACAAGAGTGTCCCACAAGAGCGTCCTACAAGAGTGTCCCACAAGAGTGTCCCACAAGAGTGTTCCACAAGAGTGTCCCCAAGAGTGTCCTATAAGAGTGTCCCACAAGAGTGTCCTACAAGAGTGTCCCACAAGAGTTTCCTACAAGAGTGGCCCACAAGAGTGTGCTACAAGAGTGTCCTACAGAGTGTCCCGCAAGAGTGTCCTACAAGAGTGTCCTTTGGACATATTAGTTTTTCGATCGTGTTTGCATTCGGGTTCGTGGGTTCCATCTTTTTTTTTAATTTCTCAATAGTGCGCTGACCACACTGAGCCTGGATGAGGTGCTTCATCCCAAAGGCTTAGCCTTGCTGTGGGGGCGTCCCATCAGCGTCGATCACCTTGCGTCAGCGTCAGCGTCAACACGGTTTAGGGTTGAGAGTCCTCGCTTCTAATAGCAAGGCCAGGAGCCCCTAGTAGCTTCTTGATGGATGTGCATCACAGGTCTGCTTATGTGGAACTGGTGCTCCAAGATTGGCTCACGAAGTCTCTGAGTCGCACGCGGCCGCCGGCCAAGAAGATGACTCGTCGGGGTGATGGCCAAGTGAGAGAAAACGGCCACCCGTTCAGGTCGGGTGTGGCCTTTTCCCAGCCAACTTGTCATCACCTCAGTGATAAGAACTGAGCGGACGATACTGATGTGGGGGGATGATCAGGAACTCCGGCCCCTGGCGGTGTGCTGTGCTGCCTGCAGATTCAGATGGCGAGGCTAGGACTAGGACACAATGTGCGAAGTGAACAGGGTTGCCGACCTGAGAGGTGTAGGCCATTGTAACTTGATGCATTTTGTAGGCCAATGAAGGTCATGGGGCTGGTTCGAAGGAAACATATGGAAACAGTTTTGAGTGGACGCTTGAATACTAGGTTGGAGGCCATCGCTGGTAGTGTCGCTTATGTGGTTCGGATCAATCCACACCAATGGCAGAGGCTTTAAGTCCCCGTTCCAAGCCTGGAGGCTGAGCCATCCAGGGCGGCAGAAACAGAGCCAGTTAGTCAGGTCCCAAGAGCAGCGAACCAAAATGGGAAGAAGATGGAAGAAGTATAGATTACATTTGATTATGATTACCCTTTGACTCACTAACAGTAACATATGTAATATGGAAGTGGAAAACCATTTGTTTGTAGAGGAAAATGGTCTTCCCAGTGTCCCAGTGGCCATTGTCCATTTCCATGTTAGTGAGTCGGAGTGTAGGATTTGGTTGGACATCCTTCAAAGCTCGACTTCTCTTCGGCACTAAGGTCAGGGGTTTGGGGATGGAAACGTTGGACGGTCTGCTCCCTGTTCTTCCCGAGGTCACATTGGTTTAAGCTTTCCTTCTCTGGCCTTGCGCTAAGGACAGAAGCAGAGCACTTGAATGACAATGTCAGCGTGGAGCCCTCAGCATCGGCAGCACGGAGCAAACGTCGACACGCATGTTCACGTGGTGCCCCTAAACATTGTTGAATGATGTGAGGTTACCAGCACTTGCTCACCGTCACATCCTTCACCAGCGTGGCCGCGACCTGTTTGAAGAACATATCCAACAGCAGCACTCTGAACTTTTTTCCGTTGCAACCGCAACCCCTTGATAGGTGCCTTGCAACTGCAAAGACATCAAACTCTTTTTGAGCACCATGGTCATTTGACATTCACTTTGCTTCTTTGAAATGACTTCTTGGTGAGAGCTATTCTGGGTTTTGAAGACTTGACATCATGTGAAGGATCATTGGGCAGGTTGGACAGCCAGTCGACCATCGGATCCAAGGCTGGCGTCTTTGTTAAGATCACCTGGAAGAGAGATCTGTGCTGATCCGCCAGATGTGTTGAAGCATGAAGCTAGTAGTTAATTTTAATTCTAATAGCTTTTTGTTACTACTAGTAAGGCACTTGTTACTACTAGCGTGGCATGCTTGTGAGACTTGATGAACTATGAAAACACATCATGTCGAGCCACGGGACCACGCACAATATGTTTTGAACCGTGGGAGCCATCAGGACATCATCAGGACTGCCGATCTAAAAGTACATGCATGGAAGGCTCAAGCCTCTTCGGTTCCTGTGTAGATTCCTCCCAACGTCTACCATCAACCAGGATGGGAAACCAGCTCCTTGGTGGCAAACATTGAGCACATTGGCTTGGGCTCACCTGAAAAATGAATTTGAGGCACGGAACGGTGCGATGCGAGGCAAGCCTGAGAGGATCATTCAATGTACAAACGGCTCAACACAAGCTTGCACCTCAGTTGGTTGTTTGATGGGGTTTGCTTCCAGGGGCCTTCGGCCAAGACTCACCCAACAGCCTTCCCGGAGTACACCAAGCAGGTGCCTCTCACCCCGAAGATGGATCAGGAGTCAATTTTAGATTTGTACCATGCTTCAAGTGTTTCTATGGTGTTTTCGGAGTGTCTCACGCACGGCTACACGCAGGACCAAGGCTTCAAGAAGTATGACGGACCCGCAGGGCCATTCGCGGCCACTCGGCTGTTGTGGGCGGCTGAAGCGAGCTTGTCCCATCCAGCAGAAATGAACTATATAGTGGATTCTAGTGGATTCAGTGTTTACATACCTTTGGCATCCCCGGATTGGTTCAGACCTGCTTCAGCCGGCTTGAGTGAAGCCATCGGATCGCCCAACCCAAAAGAACAATTGGCAAGTTGTTGAACACATTGAGATCATTGTGACCAGGAAGCCCTTGCCAACAAGGTTGTTAAGATTTCCTTGGAAGGGAGAGATAGGACTTGGCTGGGCAGAGCTTTTCGCAGGCCGAGTTTGACCTGGCAAACCAGCTCAACATCTTCCCGCTGACCGAAGAACAATACAAAGAGTCAATTGCTCAGTCCTTTGAACGATACCTCAGTGGATCAATATAAGCGGTGTTGCCCTTTACCCCATTTTCCTGTGCCAAATCTTGCCCCCTAATCAGGCACTTCGCAAGTGCAAAGCCCATCCATGTGCCTGAGAAGCCTCAGTACTCCTCCAACTGGGAGCGTGACTTTGCTGAACGTCTGAGTCTGGCTAGATTTGGGATTTGACTTGGTGGGACAGAAATGCGCAGGCTGTAGTTTAATTGGAGAAAACGCAGAAGCCACATGGCTTGATCATGTTCGCATTTAGCTAGGGTTTGAGACCCCATGTGTGATCGGTTCCCACATCTATGTTGGTATGTCGGTGGGTCTCCTTGGATGCGGATCAAAGCCGTTCCTTGGCCCAAAGCTTGCCTCCAAGGTGCCGTGGCCTACCACCATGGACTGTACATGCCAGAGCAGCTAGAAAGCACACACTGATGTGTATGTAAACATTGTAAACTAGCTTTCGCTTAGAGGCCATCGCTAGTAGGTTGGAGGCCATCGCTTTTAGGTTGGAGGCCATCACTAGTACGTTAGTAGGTTGGAGGCCATCGCTTTTAGGTTGGAAGGCATCGCTAGTAGGTTCCTAGCTTTCGCTTAGACTGCCAGAGATTCTGCACACCGAGCCTTGAGGAAGTGTACCACGCCAAAGTCTGCTGACGACATCCGCCTTGCCGTTGCGGACTTTTCTGCGAAGGTGCATCAGGAGCGACGCTGGTGGTTGTACTAAGAAGCGGCCTGTCATAGCGGAACATAGGTGAGCAATTCCATCTATGAGCATGTTCATGGATTTGGGAATGACATGAGATCAATCTGGCAATCATTATATATACATTCCCCCACACAAACAAACAATATGATGAATTCGAGGGATCGCTTCAGGATGCTCCAAAGGATGCTTGCAAGTATTTGCAGATTGAGGAGTTCCGTTGTTTGAACGTGCGTTGGATGCACATGGTTCACACTTTCTCTCCTTGCTTGTGAATTTTATGCATTGCGCGTATTCCTTGCAATCTGTCAAGTTTGATGATATGTGTTTTGGCATTCAAAGGCCCACCAATTCCACAACCAGCCGGAAGTCGCAGCCAAGAAATGCATGAAGTGGTGGGATGACACTTGTTGGATGATATAGTAACAGTTTCATGGGGTATGATTGTGAAATATGATATTGATATGAAGCAGTATGATACCAGCTGATGGCAAGCTGTGATGGTGTTGAAACCTCGTAGCCAAGGAGATTCAGAAATGCCAGTGGGATCAAGCCAAGTTGCTGGCCCAAGACTTGCATTGTAGGGGTAAGTGTGTCAAAGATTGTTTCACCTCTTTCGGCCTCCAACCTACAAGCTGTGGTCTCCAACCTACAAACAATGGCCTCCAACCTAATAGCGATATGCTCTTTCCGCAAGTTCTCGCGGATGATGGTTTTAGGTTCAATGCCGGAACCACCTACATTGAAGGTCCACAGATGCGACGTCGCCGTGACTCACCTGCATGGATTTGGCCATGCTGCCACCAGATCCTGCAAGTGCCCTTTGCAAATCGGCATGTGGCCAATCCTATGGCTGAGGTCCTTATATTTTCTACCCAGATTTCAAGTACGCCTGAGTGATTTGGTGCACCATGAGCAGGGTCGACACTACACGGTTTGATCGGACACATTGCATGCCAAGTATGACACTGAACAAAACGCTGTCCTGCTCCTGTTTTGTACGCGGACATTTGGAGACAGTCCTAAGCACTATAACATGCGCGGCAATGGTTTTTGTGTAGAAAAAGGTGTGCGATTGGCCTGCGGAGACTCCAGACTGCTGACCAAAAGGTTTTTCTCCGGGACTAAAGCATCTTCTTGAGCCTGGTGTCATCTTCGAGCCGTTCACTCTTCGTGTTCGATATTCATGGTGGATTCCTTGTATTGAGATCGCATGCGCCGAAGGCATCACCGTTCCCTCCTTGAGTAGATTCAGTTGATAGGGTGCCGAAACACGCACGGCAAAGCTGAAATTCGCAGTTTCATGTCCCTGTGTGCTTGTAGAATCTTGTAAATACTGCATGTTTCGCCCAGGTTTAGGACACACTGAACACAAAGATGTCACCACGTAACACTAGCGAAACATGCTTTGCATCAATGGGACTGTTCGCGGTTTCACACCACACATTTCGGCAGTGCGCGGCGGAACCCGTTTGACAAAAGAGGCTTGTTCCGGCTAGGATGCTTGGGGGAACATGTGACCGCTGGTTCTTTGGGTTTGTGGGATTTGAGTCCCTTCATAATTTGCTTGTGGTGAACGGCACATGGGTAAGAACATAGTCAAAGACTGCAGCTGTGTCTTGAAGCAATTATAGTTTCCTACGTGAAGGCCTTCCGGCAAAAAAGCTGAAACTCGACCACGTCTAGATCACGTGTAGATTTCAGATTGAAGGATTTGCATGGGTTTGCAAATTTGCAAAGAAGTTCTTCTTCGAGATCGAACTTGCCATGTACCGCACACTAGCGATGCGGACGGCCATTACACTTCTGCTGCAATCTATCGCTGTTTGGTGTGCTCCGGTGACATTCAAGGAGGGGCTTGTGTTGCTGGGTTGCCTTTGTGGGTTTGGTCTTGCAGGGCCCATGATTTCCAAACAGGGGTTTGGGGGCACACCCCGGGTATACCCCGGGTGTGTGCCCCTTTGCTTGGTTTTTAAGCCATATCCATTTGAGTTCCTCCTCCAACATTTTCCAAGATGGGTCTCTTCCTGTGCGCTGTTCCTGCCGCAGGTAGGCCTTGGTGGTCTCACCGTGGCTCCGCAAGGTGTCCACGTGGCCGGAAGTTTCCAAGATTGGAATCCTTCATCCACAGCAACTTTTCTTGTGCTGAGCGCTGTCAGTTGTTTAGATTGGTTGGGCATCGTAGAACCCTACAATCTAAGAGGTTCCCTTACCAGCAGTTAGTTTACCTGAGGCCCTGGAGGATGCTGATATGGATGGGACTTTCGCAGCTTGGTGAACCAGCAGACCAGAATCGTCCAAGATCAATTCCAGGCATCACGTGTTCAACTGTTCATATGTGTTTCATCGACCACCGCCTTGGGAGTATCGTGATTGAGAGCTTGCTTTGTTCTTTTAGGCATTCTCGATGCTCAGGAAATCACATTGGATCTAGCAGCTGGTCGTCACGAGCATCCCCCTTAGCTCGCTTGCTCGAAGTGTGTTTTGTAGACGTTGTTTTGTAGACGTTGTGGAAGGTTCAAATTCATCAATGGCAATAGCTTTGAAGAAGCGGAGACCGTTCCTGAAGCCTGCAGTGAACTGGCTTCTTGACTTTCAATCGAAACAGTCCTCGAATCTTCGAGTGCAGGGCTTTCATCCAGAAGGCTAATTGGTTTGCCAACTGAAAAGGGCCACACCGGGCCCTACTCGCAACATCTCTTAACCAATCATGCTAGATAAGCTAAAACTCACTGAACGGAGCAGTACTCCTCCCATTCTTGCTTGCAAGGACTCGAATAACTTCAATCGGTACATATCGGTGGCAACAGATGGTCTCCCACAGGAAGTCCACGTTTGCTTTGGAGCTTGCAGCCCTTGTGGAGAGCTGCCAGCATGCGACTTGGCTGCCGTCATGATCATGTGCAGGCAGGAAGTGACCTTAATGATGGCTCCGGGCCACTGACTTGTTGAGCTGAAAGTGCCATCGGGTGGGGCAGGGTAGGGCGTGCGCCACGAACTCCAAGAATCATCAAAGACCCCTGAAAGCATGGTCAGGAGGGCGTCGCCTGCGGGGGTTGGCCGCGTGCGCAAGGCGAAGAATTCAATTGTCCAGCTGGATTTGCATTGAACATGGCTACACTGAAGTCTGCAGGCAGTTCTCTTGCCACTTGGCAATGTCCAAATTCAAACCATGTGGAAGATCTTCATCAGTTCCTGGACCAGGCAAGATTGCCTGCTTGAGAGGGAAATGCATTGAGAACCAAACCACAAAGAACAGAAGGAACAACGGCCCATGTTTAGGCATCCTAGCAGTTGAAAACAATGGCCACCCCACCACGGCCCATGTTTACTCACAGCTCTCCAAGGCCACATGCTGTGAGGACTTGACAGGCTCAGCACTGCACGGTGTGGCGGTGCGAAGTGCTGGCTGGTCTGATGGAAACCGCGCTGAGTTTTGGATGACTCTCGGTCGCACCCCCTCGTCGTTTGCGGAAACTTTGGCGACGGTTGGAAGCCGCAGGGGAGCAGTGATGAAGCCAATTCAGGATTTTGTAGACGTTTTTTGTTTTTCAGGAGGAGATCCATTGAGATCCAGTTATATATATATATTTATTTATTCATGATTATTCATGTATAATTATTCACAATTAGGTCTGCACCCAATTGTCAGTTCTCTCTCAACGCTGTCAGCAGGAATGGCGACCTGCTATACGCAACTGGCACACGGGGTTTGACTGTGGTTGAGCTGCTGCCAAACAGCTCCACAGCAACTTGGCATTTTCAGTTGAGCTTTGACGTGGCCTTGTTGGTGTGGCCCTGGTGGCCCGTTGAGGTGGTACTGAACAAAACCTTCGATACCTATTCTGCCGCTTGGTGTAAGGGTCGAGCAGTGAAAACGAGTTTGAACATGTTCGTTTCCCAGCTTTACTTCTCTATTCTGCCCGGATGACTTGCAAGGACTCGTCGGAATTGGAAGCCTACTTGTCTTCCCTGGCCGTTGGGCACATCATTCTCGTTGGAGCTGCAGATGAAGCGTCAAGCAGCCTGAGTCCTGAGGCACTAGATGGCACTGCTGGCAGAAACTGTCTTTGGTTGATTTGGTTGAAAGGCGAGGGTGCTGTTGGCTCAGTGCGGAAGTCAACTAGCTGCTGAGATCGGATACAGGACTGAAATACATGATGTACATGGATGATCTAGGATTTGAATCCTTCAATGCACGAATCCATGTTTGCAGGAGTTCCTATGCGCTCATCGGTCAGAAATATCCTACGGATGGGCCACCTTTGGCTGAGGTGGGCCGCGTTTCCAGGGACCACCGATGGGTCTTGTGCGACCTGCGCGAACTCTGTGCAGGTGCACACCGCAGCTGGTGAAGGGAAGGCCATCGCTGTGGCCCGCCTCAAGGTGGTTTCCAGCTTTGAGGACTGAACAATATGATTCCAAGCCAATAGCATCTAATAGCGATGGCCTCCAACCTAGAAGCGATGGCCTCCAACCTACTAGCAACATGCGAGGAGGTGTCCCATTGCGAGACTGACATTGCTGAACCGCCTATGTTTGGGACCCTCGAAGTTGACGGCAACTTCAAGTTGGATGCGGGATGTCGATACAGGGTGCAGATGCCTCAGACTGCAGCATGTTCCCTGGAATTGTCTAATGTCTTGGGAGCAGGTTCTGTGGAAATGTCCAGATCACACTGCGACCCCCTTGGAACGCCGAAGGTGGGAACTGCCAAACGCAGCGGCATGTCTTGGAGGCACCGAAAAAGCAACGATGCTGAAAGTGGTTTGGGTGAATAGCGGGCATTCAATTGCAGGTGCAATTGCAAATCACACATCATTAGTAAAGATTGGCAATATGCATGTTCCATGTGTAATTATACTTATACCTTATTCGCTTGCATCTCTCTCTCTGTAGAGCTGGCTGATTTGATTGTTTTAGGATCCTGGGTGGTGGTCACTGGCTCCTCCAATGCGTTGCTGATGTGGAACTCTTTGCTGATGATGCTCGCACCTTCAGAGGACGGCACGCTTGCTGGTCCTAGTTGCATTTGCAATACGGGTGCGAGTGCGGTTGCAATCGAACCAGGCCGGACTCATGCGCAGAGGGCGCTTCGGAGGAGCGCATTTGTTGGATGCCGTCATTGAAGATGGTGTTATCATTCATTATGAGACTGAATCTTTTCATGCAGATCAGGTCGTTTTCGAGTCGTTTTGTTCTTTTCACCTTTTCGAGTTCAGATGAGTCGCTTTGTAGGTGCTTGACGTCTTGAACAACTCAGGTCAAGTCATGGCTGGATACGTGCGACCAAAGCACCCCAAGTGGTGCCCCGAATGAAACTGAATGCAGGACCGGCCTACGCGGGAAAGCTTATTTTATCGACTGGCTAGCTAGGTAAGAGCTGGCAAGCCAGTGATTTTAGCAGCGTAAGGCGTAAGGGCAAGCAAAGCATGCCATAGGAGAGACTGCAAGAGAAAGAGGGAGAGCATGAATGTAATGTCATTGCCATCTTCAGCACTTGTGGCATGTTGCAGAGGATGGTCTATGCAGAGACCCTGGCCAAAGCACCAGCACACAGTCCCAACAGGATGGGCTCGGTCCAAAAAGGTACGCAGCAGGGTTGAACTAAGTGTTGAACTTATGTATTCTGGCTGCGCAAAGCACAAAACTGGTTTTGACAGAGAGTCAGCCAGAATCCTGGATCATTATGCCAGCCAGCACTTCAACGTGCAAAGACGTTGCTGAGTGGAGGGAGGGGGTGGAGGGCACTCTTGGTCTTGCGCAAGTCATGACATGGCTGAAAGCTTCAGGATTCGATTGACGATGTTTTTGTCCTTCTACTGGGCACCTTGGACGAGTTTGTAAGATTTCCATTGCCTTCGCAGAAAACAGATGTCTATTGTTTTCCACCGCTTATTGAACAGTTGAATTCATCAGCTGCCATGGGACACTAAGACCCATCAGTGGTGGAGACCCACCAATTAGAGATTTACAAAGGAATCAGAGTGAACCAGCTTCAGTTGTGGAGATTCGCAATAGATTTGATGTTTTTCCTGTACACATCTTCAGGCCAGGACTGGCACCGCCTTGGACCTCATCGAAGCTCAAGACGCCTGGGCCATGAGTGAGGCCAGAGAAGATCCGACCAGTGATCTGACCACGGCAGGACCTGGAGGAATCATACCATGGCTTCAGACCATATGACCTGTTGTTGTTTGATTGGCTGAAAGGCACTGGAATGCTCTCCTGTCTAAAGTGGTATAGCAAGGTTTCTAGTCTGCAAACCCTGATCTGCAGTGCTCGTTTCAGTGGTCCAGGTCAGCATTTTGGTGCAAGTGGTGGCCTGGTATGTGGTGTGCAATGGGATCAAATTCAATGGCTGCCACCGTCCCAATCTCATCGATTTGCCAGAGGATGAGGTAGCGACAATGTTCACAAATGAGATGGACACTTGGCATGATGCAACATGTACTGTAAAACCGTTTATTGTTACCACCTGCGCCACTGCCTTGCCTTTCGAAATCGGTTCCGGTGGATTTGGACAATTTTATTGGCACGTGGGATGGCCGGGATGCACCAAAAAGATCCAAAATGCATGCCGTGGAATCCCGTGGAACTCCCAATCCAACAAAGTCATGTCATTTCACACCGAGACATGACGAACTTGGCTAAGGAGCCAGTGCTCAATCGAATGCTGATGTTTTGCTCACCAGGCAGACAGAAAGCCGTACAGCGGAAATGTTTCGTCCAAACGCGGCAAAGTCCTTTGTCCTTCAACCGACAGAACCAAGTGTTTCTGTGCACGCTGTTTTTTTTTCTGTATGTGTGAAGGGGAGGTGTGCTTAAGTGAAAGCCCGAGTTTCATTCATGACGACTAAGTTTCGTAAGTTTGGCTGCTATTTACAGGATTGCAACATGGGGCTTGGCTCCAAACTGGCCCGTTCAGGGGTTGCTACTGGTGCCATGCCAGCACTTGCAGGTGGACGTGCAGGAGTTCGAGGTTGTGCTGTAGCCACCAACTCCTTCACAAACGCTGGAAGTCCCTTGCGGCTTGGCATTGTATGTTTGATGAGCAACACTCGTGATGATGAACGATGTAGGTGAATTGCTAGTGCTTATACCCTCTTCCTGGGAGCCGGATTCAGCAGGCTGGACATGTTCTTGCGCTTCAACGCACTGGTGACTCAGGCAGGAAACACACTTCGCCTAAACGAAAAGAGTAAGCCGATCTCAATCATTTTCCTCGCACCCTTTGGGCGAAGGCCATGGATGCAAAGAAGACAGACAGCTTCCGGTATTTGGATATTTTTGCACTCGGCGCCTCCATGCCTGATGAGAGACTTGGCTTGGCATGTGAGAGCTGAGCAACAAGACACGTCGGAATGAGATGGAAGTCCGTGCCGTGCTTAGGACGCTGGATGGCCACGGTTCCCAGATCCTCCAGTTGTGGACATGGCAGGCGCTGCTAGGCCCGGGAGGGGAGTCAGATTCATGTCAGCCTGGTTGTTTGTGGCGTTTGATCAACATGTCAACCTGAGTTCCAGGGGGCTTTTGTTCCAGTTCTTCTGCGGCCACTGGCAGCCAAGTTCGCTTCGATGGGCCCTTGTGCTGGCGAAAAACCGCACTTTGGTAGCAAATGGTTGATGATGTTGATTTGCTTGCCAGTCCCAGAGTGGTACTTTCTACCACACAGCTTACGTGATGCAATATAGATCTGCAGAGGTTCCCTCTACGCAAAGAAAGCTAGCACTGCGGAATTGACCGCCAAGATTCATTTCAGCTCACTTGAACTCATTCAACTTGCTAGACTTAGACACCCGGCACATGTCAGGTTGTTGTTGGACGTTGAGGCCCCCACGATTCCTATTACACATATAAAAGAACATAAATAATGTAAAAAACATACGCACACACACACATATATATATATATATGTATACATATATATATATATACAGACATACATACATACATGCATCCATGCATCCATGCATCCATCCATCCATCCATCCATCCATCCATCCATCCATCCATCCCTACATACATACATACATACATACATGGCCAAGGCAGTCCTTGCCCCAGCACTCCAACCATGGCAGCAAGCCCATCCCAACATCCACCTATCAAGCTGGGTTGATGATGTTGGTTTTGACACGGCCAGCAAAACCCCAGTCCAGGCAGCGAGAGCCTCTGTGGCCGCCTACCGAGACCTCCATGCAAGGCTCCAGCAACTAGGTCTTCAAGTCAATCCAAAGAAGACAGCATTTGTCACCACTGACAAGGCCACTGATCGAGAACTCCGGGCTTTGCTCACAGAAAACGATCCCCAGATCGCGCCAGTCATGAGAGACTTAGGCATTGATCATCAGGCAGCCCGCAAGAGGAGGATCCCGGTCATGAAGCAGCGCATTAAAAAAGCGCACCACAGGAAAATCAAGTTGAGGAGCCTCAAAATCCCAGCCCTCAAAGTACGGCTGCGCCTCCATCGGGGAGGCACTCAACCCGTTGCTTTGTGGGGTGTCGAAAGTCAAGGCCTTGCACCACGATATCGAGCGGCACTGAGACACAGCATGGCAAAGCACTTGGGCCATCACACGGGCGGCCTATTGGATGTCATCTACGATATCCATGCCAAGCGCTACATCGACCCTGCAGACCAGGTCATCATACAGCACATCAGAGCCATCCATCACCTCATCCAAGCATGGCCACCTGACCAGCTGCCAAATCTTGAACAAGCGTGGCATTTGACCAGACAGCAGCTGCAGGAGAAACAATACCCATGGTACACAGTACGAGGACCCTTGGCAGCCACGATTGTCTACCTCCTGGAATGGGGATGGCAACCTCGAGACCTACTGCATTGGCACCGGCCAGAAACCAAGCTGATGCTGGCAGAAGAGCTCCACCTTCAGCAACCATGGTGGGTCATCGAGCGCGCCCTCACTCGGGAAGCTCAACAGCAGCGCACCGCCAGACTCGCCAGTAAGCAACACTGCCAAGACTTGCTGACCGGACTGGACTGGCACACCTACAGGCAAGTGAGGAAGCACCTCAAACAACAACAACAGCACCACCTTGACACCTGGGTCCAGGCGGCATTGCATTACAGAGATGCGCACCAGACCAAGAACTGTCCGCATTGCCAAGTCCCAGCCACGGCAAAACACATTCTCTGGCTATGCAAGTGGCACAAAACTCAAAACCATGAACCCATGCCACCCGAGTGGATGGACCGCATTACCAGTCATGATGAAGAAAGGTTGTGGGCCCATGGGTGGATACCTCTTGAACCACAAGAAGCAAGAACTCAGCAGCACCCACTCCAGGGACATGGCTGCTGGGCAGGCATGCAGGTCATCCCGCTCCAACAACACTGCGGCTGGGCATTCACTCTGGATGCTACTCCCTCCACCTATGACCAGCGCAGCCAGATGTGTATCTTCGGACTTTGTGCCCACAACATGGCTCTGGGACAACTCAAGAAGCTGGGATCCATCACCGGGGTAGCCACCGGAGAACAAACCAAAGTCCGGGCGATTCTCACCGGATTGGTAGCCCTCACACACCACACCGCCGACCATGTCAAGGTCATTGTCCAGCTGGCATCCGTCTGGGAAGCCTGGCACCATGAAAAGCAGAGGCAACCCTACCAAGACATCTTGAATGAAGTACCACCCCAGGACTTCAAGCGAGTCACGGTGCTTTACATTAGCAAAAACACCAGGACGCCGGACCAACCAGCCAATGAGCCGCAACTAAGGAGGAGGCAAAGGGAAACAGCACTGGCAGCCTGGGAACGGGCCAAGACCCTGTACGACAGCAAACAGGAGGAATGGCAGGAAACCCTAGACCAAGATCACAAGATGATCTATGAGCATGCCGTCCGACGCCTCAGCAAGATCTTTGCTGACAGCCAGCACTATGTGCACCAAAAGGCTCCTAAGCACCAAGGCAAGCAAACGAAGCAATACAAAAAGGAGCTTATCAACCGCTGTCGACAGGCATGGGACGAAGAGCACCACCACTGGGAGCAACACCAAAGAAGCGGATACCAATGCCGCAACTGTGGATTACGCATGCACCAAGGACTTACTGCTGACATCCTGGAAACCAGGTTGGCCGAGACCTGCCCTCAGAAGGTGTTCCATGAGGCAGTCAACTCACCAGACACAGAGCAACCACTGCCCAGAAAACTCACCAGGATGCAGCAGATCAAGGCGCTGCTGGACAACCAACCAGAGCAACCTACGCCAGGCCAACACCAACTGGCCGAAACCACTGGCTACCTGAAGTGTGTGGTGTGCAACCTCAACATACACAAGCGGGTCAATGAAGAGGCATTCAAAACTTTCATCCACAGCACCTGCATCAACCAAGCCTTTCAGGCTGCACACCATGGCCACCCAAGCCATGCACTCTGGCAACTTGGCGAGCGTGTCAAATGCACGCAATGTGGCACTCAATGGAACTTGGATGGGCAACATCGCATCATAGCGACACAGGCCTTTCACAAGCCCTGTCGAGGAGCAGGTGGGAAACACACGCCACCAATAAGCACCTTCTTTCAAAAGAAGCAAGACAAGTCAAGCAGCCATAGCTCAGAGTCTCTCCCACCTGCAGCAGCAGCCAACTCTGGTCCTACACCGAAGCGGCTGCACTTCCCCACGGCCTTGGACGAAGCAGAACAGGAAGCCCTCACTCACGGCATGTCAACACTGGCCATGACACCCAGCCAACCAGCTGACACAGCCGAAGAGGACAACCTTCCTGACATAGCAGTTGACTTCTTTTAGCAGTACCACCATGGATCCTGCAGAAGACCAACTGAAGAGGCCCCGGAACTCCTGAGGCACAAGCCCAGCCTGAACCGGCCAAACGGCCCAACTAAGCAACTCTAGAAAAAATACATACATACATACATACATACATACATACATACATACATACATACTGCGAATTTGATGTCTTGTTCATGAGTTGTTCCCCCTGATTTGCCATTCACCTGCTGCCATATCTCCCAGAGGGTGGGATTCTCGAGCTCGCAAAGAGAAAAGGCTGGAGCGCAGCCCCGTGGTAGATCCAGGGTTCCTAGGCTCCGTACCTTGCTTTTCGCATTGGTAGCGACGGCTTGACCACGGCCGTTGCGCTCCCGAGCTGCCATGTGGATGTTCGATGAGGACCTCGATGAAGACCTCGAGGAGATCGAGGAGATCGACGAAGCAGCCGGCGCTTGGGATGCTGATCCTGTTGACCCAGCCTTCACCGAGGCTGGTGGCGCGGATCATGGTGGAACAAATGCCTCCGAGATCTATGACTTCGGAGAAGGAGAGAGCGCCCTTCGAGCACCTTCGAGCAGCCCTTCAACGACGAGGCGCCGAGGACGACGTGGCTCAGGGCATGGCGGCAGCAATGCAGGTGGTGGCCAGAAGAAGTGGCGCTCAGGCCACATACCCCCACCTCCTGCATTTGCGGGAGATGTGGAAGGAGACCCCTACTGTCTCCGCCACTACAGGCGTGCTCTTGAGCGGTGGTGCTTGATAACGGCCGAGTACCTCCCCAAGAGCGAGCAGGCACTTCGAGCTTTGGACTCCCTGACGGGAGATGCGGCGCTTGAGGTGGAAGAGATCCCGGATTCGAAGTATTTCCGGGATGACGGCATCGAGGTTCTTCTCAAGGACTTGGAGGCCGCCTTTGGTGAACGTGAGATTTACCGCCGAGGCGGTTTGATCCGGGAGTTTGAGAACCTCTCCAGGATGCAGGGCGAGCGTTGATGCTTTCGTGCGACGCTACAAGTTGTACGAGAGGAAGCTTCAGGACGCTAAGGTTGCTGCCTATCCCTCAGAGACGAGGGCGGTCAAGCTGTTGGATGGTTTGCGTATGAGCGAACAAGCAACTTCACAGCTTCTCCTCGCGGCCAGAAATCGCTACGACATGGACGCGATCCTCAATGCCCTCAAGGTGCAATATCCTCCAGGTCTCACTTTGACTGGCCTCGCACGACATCCCACCGCGATCTCAACCCATGTCAAGGGCCGAGGCCGTGGCAACCATGGCCGCGGACGAAGTCGGTCCGGTGGGAGCTTCAAGTGGCGAACCTGGCACACCGAGGCCCAAGAAGACGAGATTCCTGAGGACAACACCGTCCCTGAGACCTTCACTGGCTATGAGGCCTACGAGATCTCGAATGACATCGCCGCAGAGAATGCCAATGACCTGTTGGACGATGCCTTCGAGTACCAGTTTGATGACTATGAAGCTGACTTTGAGGATGGCGTCCCTGAGCAAGCCCCTGAAGAGGGCTATGATGATGGGCCTGAAGAGCAAGCTGAGGCCTTCACCGCCACCAGCAAGAAGATGGCATCAGCCACGCAGTCACGTGGCTACTACCTTTCGGCTGCTGAGCTGCTGCGAAGGTAAGGGCAAAGGTGGTGGTGGGAAGGGGAAAGACAAGGGCGATGGTAAGAAGGGTTTTGGTTCTTCTTCATCTTCATCAACCTCCTTCCAGAAGGGCAAAGGTTTGGGCAAACCCTCCAAAGGTAGCACCAAGGGTTCCGGGAAAGGTGGTGGAAAGAACAAATCCTCCACACAACGACACCGACTTCAAGCCAGTTTGTGCCTTGGCTGCGGCTCGTCAGAGCATTGGTTGAGGGACTGCCCCCATGTGACTCAGCATCAGGCTCATGTTTGTGCATCCTCCACCACTCTTGACGGTGAGGGGATGGTTGTTTGGATGGTTGGCCACAACAAGATGCCGCCAACTGACATGGAGGCCGACTCGGAGGACCTCGGCGTGGAAGAGTTTTTGCCTGAAGGCATGAATCCAGATGACGCCCTGGATGCTGCTGATGAGTGGGCACTATGGCAGATGGAGGCCCATCAGGCCAATGAGTTTCTTGAGCGCCAAGCAGCATCTTCAGTGGCACCTTCTTTCCGCACGGCCGTGACCGGCCCTTCGAGTTCTGAGTGGCGTTCGTGTGACACGCCACCACCATCGTCCAGCCAGGGCGATCCAGAGGACTTTTTGGATGCTCTGGATGACGCCCATTTCTGGCGTTTGGAAGCTGAGGGTTGCCTTTCCGAGTTGAGGCGATTGGAACAAGAAGAACAAAATAAAGGGGTGCGGACCCAAGAACCGCAAGAACCGAAGCAAAATAGCGGGGTGCGGACCCAAGAACCGCAAGAACACAATAGCGGGAAGCAGACCCAAGAACTGCAAGAGGCCAGAGGCCCAGGGAAGCGGACCCAAGGACCGCAAGAGCATAGGCTGCCGGTAGGTTCATCTCATGTCTCACCGGTGACCCTGGCAGGGACGCCGTACCTAGCCCCTCGGGCTCCCCTTTCGGACCCGCCGCGGATTCGTTTGTTTGAGGAATGGCCTTCGAGTGATGACATTTCTGGCATGCCAAGGCGAGAGCCATTGGTGAAGCTGCTTCGACATCCTTCTGGAGCAGTGAGCACCACATGTTTGCTGAGGCAGGCGAATGCTTTATAAGTGCATGTCACTACTTCCTCGCCTACCCCCTCACAGACCACTCTGACTCCTCAGACGGCGAGTTCATGCGCTGCCTTGGAACAGGAAGCTCCGAACGACAGAGGAGAGACTGAAGAGCTTCAGCCATCACTGAGCGTGACCATTCCTTCGATGACCACGTACGTTCAGTACAGCCAAGAACCTGCGTTGGTGATCATTGACACCGGCTGTCAAAAACAAGTTGCCGGGAAGCATTGGCATGCCGCTCACCACGAGCTTTTGCAGATGCCACGACTTGCCTTTCCGGAGAAATGCCAGTTCAAGTTTGGGCCCAATCGGGGAACTTCGTCGACTACCCGGTATGCATATCCGTCGGGCATGGGAGGACACTTCACTGTTTTGTTTTTCTCTTGTGTTTCAGATGATGCTCCGGCCCTCATGTCTCGGAACACCCTCGCCACTTTGGATGGTTTGGTCGACATTTGCCGGGGTGAAGTCATCTACCAAGCCCTCCAAACGAAGTCACCCCTCTATCTAACCAGCTGCGGACACCTGGCTGTGAGAATCGACGAATGGCCATCAACTATGCCATCATGGCCCTGCACAATGCAAGGGATTGATGATGAACAGAACTTGCCTGACATTTGGGCTCCCGCAGCACTACCTGTTCAAGCTTCAGCTTTGCCTAGCGCTCGCTTCCCTTTGCAAAGACCCCCACTGGCTGATGCAGGGCAAGGCTCCACCGTCATGGCTTCGTCGATGGAGGCAGCTGCTGACACACCTCTTCAACTTCATGAACAAGGTGCTGAGGACGGCATTGGGCTATGCTGCAACCTCGATGAGCCCCAATCTTCGGGACCGTGTGCTGCAGCAGATGCCACCCTGTACGGCGGTGACCATGATGAGCACCGTAGCTCTGTCATCGGTGCAGGCTTCGCTCAACCTCACCACCTACGAGGCCAAGCCGGAAGACTGTCGTCATCCACGAGGACTTCGTGCTTACGGGGCAGGCGGACAGTCTGCCAGGATCTGCGACATGTGCGGTTTTCGAGCGGTAGTCCACAAAGGACAAATGGTCCCAGTGGCTCCAAAAGCCAGTCCGCATGCAAAGACGCCCTTGGATCTGCCGGACCATGTTGCCAAAGCTTCCAAGTCCAAGGCCAAAAGCAAAGCGCAGAGCAAGGCCGCAGGAAAAGCTGGTTTATCAGGACAGTGGCCTTCTGGTTTGGGACCTTCCTCGCCTTCCTATCAGGACTCCTCCTCGACAGCGTCTCCGGGATTGGATCCTCTCCTTCTCAAGCAGGTGGAGGCACATGCGCTCAAGCAGGTGGAGGAGCAGGTGGAGAAGCGCTTGGAGCTTTTGGTGCCGAAGGCTGTGGCGGCTCAGCGACAGCAGATGGAGGCGGACCAGGCTTCGAACATGAGCTGGGATCAGATTGGTGGCGCCCACTGGTGGAGTCCAGCTTCATGGGAGACCGACCACGAGCACCAGGAGGAGGAGGACTTCGCCTGGAACCTGGAGGACAACGACGCGGAGACAGAAGGCCCCGAACAGAACTTCGAGCAGATGAGTCTGGACGGATCAGGCCTTTGATCCATGGCTCAGCTGACCGGCCTCTGACATTTGAAGACAGAGGTCTGACATGGTTGAAGCCCGGCAAACAGAAGCGGCTGCTTGGAACCATTCGACAGATGCAACAGCTCTGGATGGTTGAGTTGAGCATTTACGACACCCTGGTTCAACATAGTCGATGGCTCCGTCGCAGCAAAGCAGACCTGGTGGAGATCTATGCTGGTCATGGCAACATCTCTGAGTATGCCCTTGGCAAGGGATTGAGAGTTCTTCAACCTGTCGACAAGGTTTTTGGCACTGAGCTGAATACCAAGAAGGACTTCGACTGGTTGACTCAGAGTCTGTCATATTGGAAGCCCTTGCTCACAGTGGTCGAACCCGAATGTCGCCTCTGGAGTTCTCTGACAAACCTGAACTACTTCTGGAGGCCAGATGAGCTAGCTCAACTTCGAGATGAAGCTCAAGTGACCGTTGAAGGTGTTGCACGACTTCTTCGCGACATCCTTGACGATGGTCGCCTTTTCCTTTTGGAGAATCCCCACGCTGGCAAATTTTGGTCACAGCCCGCCATTGTCAAGCTGATGAGCGACTACCAGCTCTTCTACGACTATGGTGAGATGTGTATGTATAACCTCCGTGGCAGGGCTGGTCATTTGATCCGTAAGCCCACGGGGTGGCTGACCAACAAGGCAGAATTGCTGCAGGCCGTGAACTGCAAGTGCAACGGCAACCACGAGCATGAACCATGCATGGGCACCAACTCCAAACTTGCTGCAGTTTACACCAGGACCCTGGCCAAATCAGTGGTGGACAAGTTTTTAGGCTTTCTACATCATGGCCAGTGTCTGCTACCAGCTACCCTACTTCCTCTTCATCTCGAGCGCCCCGGACTCCTTCACGGGCACCTGTTACTCCAGTGCCAGTACCCGGCACTCCACGACCTATATGCCAGGCACTCCAAGACCTGGTATGCCGGAGATGACTGAGGCAGAAGAGCCCTATGCAGACCTGAAGAAGGACATCGATGCTTGGCGACCTTTGTTGAAGGAGGCCGCAGAGCGCTTGGAGGGCAAGGTGGCAGTCAGCGCAGAGATCAAGCCAGGCGCATTCCTTGAACAAATCAAAGCCTTGGTGCCCTGGCACATCGCCTACACCCAGATCTACAGAACTCCAAAGATGAGACGTCTGCCAACTAGGCAGATGATGGATTTGCCTTTCTCCCATCGAGCGGCGGTTCTTTTGTTTGCAGATGGCTCCATCACCATCGAGAGTGAATCGATTGCTGGTTTGGCGAACCCCAATGCTCGTTTTGAGAAGAACGTGAGAGTTGGCATTTTCATTTATGGAGATCCAGTTTCTTTGAGCTCTTCACAACATCGTGCACGAGCTTCACTTCCACCTCCTCTACCTGAACCCGAGGAGATTGCAGTAGATGACTGGAAGATTCCGGACATTTCTTTTCCCGGAATTAGTGAGGACCAGACTCCGAAGTGGATGCAAGGAGTTTTGCGACGTGTGCACAGCAACCTTGGACACCCTCCACAAAGTGTCATGGTTCGTATGTTGGCTCAGGCTGGTGCAGCACCGGCCGCCCTGATCGGTGCTCGAGCCCTACGTTGTGGTGTCTGCGAGAGAGCCAAACCCTTGAAAGAGGCCCGACCTGCAAAAGCTGTCGGTCCCAAACGGTTCAACCAGCGGCTCATGTTGGATTTGGTCTTCTGCAAAGACGCCGCTGGCGAGACGTTCACCTTTTTGAACCAGCTCGATGAGGCAACCACCTATCAGGCATTGACCCTCATCCCAAATCGTGAGTCTGGAACTATCAACCAGGTGTTGA